CGAATCGTGCAGGGGAGAACGGAGATGTGGGTGATGGGGAAGCAAAGGAGATGTGGGAGCGGAACGGAATGAAAGATGGGCTGGGGGAGGACAGTGGGAGGAGGGTAAGGGCTGGAGATTCGAGGGATTGTAGAGCAACTGTATGGGTGGAGGGTGGAGGCATTCGAGGAACTGTATGTCTAAACCACCACACGGGTGGGCATGACAAACTCACTTGATGATAACCCCGCCCTTCTTGCCGGTGGTAACATCCAGCGACCCGGGCGCCCACGACGTGGCAGCAACGGCGGCGGATTGCCCCTGGAGATCGTACGGCGACGCGGTGCCTGTGCCCGTCTCGTACGCGACCACGTTGCTGCCGCCCATGTCGCCGCTGGGCGACCAGCCGACGGCGAACCAGCCCGCCTTGTGCGCCGCGGATCCCGGGTGCGCTTGGATGGCGAAGCGGAGGGTCTTGCCCTTGGTGGCCTTCCAGTGCAGAGAAAGCCTGTAGCAGTAACGGGTAACGGGGATGAGCGAGATGGAAAAGGTTAAGATGCGCATAGCGGAGATGATCGGGGATGAGCGGGATGGCGAAGTGGAGGGTTTCGCCCTCGGTGGCCTTCCAGTGCAGAGAGAGCCTGTAACGGGGATGAGCGGGATGAGCGGGATAAGGAAGCGAGTTCAGACGCGCATAGCGGAGATGAGCGAGATGGCAAAGTGGAGGGCTTCGTCCTTGGTGGCTTTCCAGTGGAGCACGAGCCTGTAACGGGGATGAGCGCGGATGAACAAGGATGAACGGGGATGGGGAAGGGGAGTTGAGATGCACATGGCGGAATAGGAACTTTGGAACAACTCGGGACGACGTTGGGGTGAGCGGGATGATCGTAGAGGCGAGGGTGGTTCGGGGTGGAAAGGAAGAAAGTAAGGAAGACAGAAAATAAATTAAGATGCCTAACATCAGTTCTCGTCGCTCTATCGCGGCCTGCATTGTCGCGTCCCCGGACTGTAGCTTTATCATCGAGGTATAACCCTCCAGCTCGGACTTATAGCACATGAACCGATCCTTGAGTCGGACTCAAAAGTCGACGTACCCGTATTGAAGCTTAACCATGGAGGTATAGCCCTTCAGCTTGGACTTGCCGCACATGAACCGGCCGAACGGCAAGAAAAACAAACTGCGCCGCCATCCCGCTGATCTCTCCGTCGTGGCGATCGTGCCGTTGGGAGCTAGACGCGACGCGTTCGCGAGCGGCGCGACCGCGAGAAGTAGAAGGCCGCATACGACGGCGGTTGATAAGAGGATAGGCGAGGCGGGTCTCGTCGAGGAGGCGCGTGCGACGCGTTGAGTCATCGCCATGGTTGGTAGGGAGTCGAAGCGTGGATAGCGAAAGCGAAACGGAAGAAGTTGACGGTGGGATGCGCTAATGCAGACAGCGTCAACGAGTTTGTGGGATGAGATTGTGGCTCGGATGGTGGTGACGATTGAAACGGCAATGGCGAGGGCGACCGAAGTTGGGTAGGTGGCGAGCAAAAGGCGACAGCTCAAGTTGTGTGAACGATGAACGGAATGCACGCAGCCCTCTTTGATTGGTCTGGATAACGTAAGTGGCGGTATTTATGTTACGACTGAACAAAATAGGTGAAACTAGAGTAGTAGATTCAGCAGCAACACCAGTGGGAAGTTGGAAGGAACTTGGGAAGGTCCCTCCCACCGCAGATTGGTGGGCGGCCGTGCGACACGCCACCACCATTTCGTTTCACAGTGCGTGCGACACACGCCGTCGCCGAACCACACAAATTGCCCATAATAAAGCACCTATCTGTCAGTTTCGACTCGCAGCCGCGCTGCGACGAGAAATTTGTGGGGCATGACTGGTCGTAGACGTGTGGGCGTAGTGATGCGACGGAAGGTGGACAGACGAGGCGCCTGTTATTGGCCAACGTAGTCGCAAGCATTTGTACCGTACTTGAATTCGTCGCATACGCCGCAGACGCAACGGAAACGAAACTTCGTTGGAGCTTGTGCTGACGCCAGCTGGATGTTGCTGTCTGGCTCTGTGGAGAAATGTGTCGGTGCAATCGCGTGCCCCTTGTGGGAGGAACGTGTGCATAATTTCGTTGACTGATCAAGGTTGGATTCACGGGCCAGGTTCGTGCTGTAATGGCAAACCGTTAACCTAGCACGGAATAGGCTTGACGTGTGCCTGTACAGCCTGTGTGGCTGATGGTGCTTGGGGGAGGGAGGTATGGAAATTGCGGCGCTAGTTGGGGAATGCAGAGGCTCTGGCTCTGGTTATGGCTTTGTACCCGAGCTGAGCTGTCAGAAAGGTGCCAATCAGAGATGCTAGTTTCGTGGCTACTGAAGGTGATGTGACCTGTGGCAACATGTCACAGGTTCATTGTTGTCGGCTGCCATTCGACAGAGGGCCGTCACCTACCAGCACACAATACATAAACATACTAAATTCATAAACGACACAAAACATTATTCTGAAATGGAGATGGTCTTACTCTAGCAACATTGGCATAATCACCCATGGACATTCTGTAGAGCAGCCAATTGTCGATATAGACAAAGAGATTATACCAGCTTCCTCCATCACGCTTTGCACTTTTGTTATGTCTAAAGCTCCTTCCATATCTATGTAACACTAACTGGCATTGTAGAACGAAGTGGCACATATTCAGGCTGGGGAAGGCAATGCATAGGAGCACTATCAACGGCTAAAGGGAGAGAGAAACAATAGCATGAGCAGTTCCTAAGGTCAGATAGCCGCCAAGCTAATTCTCATGCCCTTTCTGTCACTGTAGATGCATTTGGTGAAGCCTTGATACTAGGCGAACGAGGACTATACAGAGCAGTAGCTGAATGGAAGCGAGTGGTCAGTGGAGGAAGATGAAGAACAGGAGGCGGGCACCTAGAAGGGCTGGGTGGCTCGGGCGCTTTATTGAAGGACGGTGCCCAGAATTTGTATTCCCATAGCTCTTTCGCAGGGAGGGACGCTGTGAAGGGTCCAACCTGGAAGTGAATGTTCTTTCCAGGAGGAGGGTCTGTTCTCACACTGCCGATAGGCATCCACATGAGAAAGCGTTTTACTCTGATTCCCTGCAGTAGTCAGTGCACACTGCATGAGAAATGGGTCCTGGGACGTTGCAGCAGTTGCGATCACATGTATGCTACGCACCTTGACATTGAATATGCCATTTTGACAGAGATCACCAGAGATGACTTTGTCAAACTTGATGTAGTGCCCCCCGAATTCCGCCATACTCTCGTTTTTTCCCTGAGTTGCAATGAATCTTCCATCAGTAGAGTTGAAAGAGATGTCCGCCAAGCTCTCCATAGGTAGCAGGCCATGTGGAAGGTTATGTTCCTGCACATACAGTTTAGGTATATACAACTTTCTTCAAAATCCAGAATGGTTTGAGCATAGTAATGCACATAATGAAGGATATGTTAGAAGTTTCTTATAACGACAGAAATATACCTTCAGTATGGCGTGAGCAATTTGAAGAGGGGAGCAGCGCTCCACGGCTTTGGAGCCTCTGATATCTGAGACTGAGGAAGGGGTCGCTGGGATCGTTGTGTCCCGAGGAGGCATTTTGGAGTGCAGCGCCGCGATCAGACCAACTTAGAACCACAAGGATGATTCGAGAGAGGGGAATAATACTGATTCAAGAGGTCCTGGCGGCTGCTAAAACCACCTCAAGCTTTGCTGCTTTATGAACCGCAGTTTCCTGAACATGGCAGAGCCTGATCACGGATCACTAGCAGCGTCGTGTGCCGAAGCCCTGAAAGCTGGCTTCTCGACCCCAACCCGGAAAAGCAGGATTCCGACTCCGTTGAGCACAAAAGGTACTTGTCAGGAACCTCATTTCCGTTTTGATTATTCGTTTTGACTGAAAGGCTTGCAGCTACAGCGTCGGTGCGTCGGTTCCACATCTCCCGAGTGGAATCTTCCGAAGCTGCGTGACGATCATACTCAAGCTGGCCTCTACTCAACATGCTGATAGCTACTTCTCGATACTGACGTTCCAACTGGACTACTAGCTGAATTGACAGCTCGCTGTCGCTTTTGTTGGATAGATTCGCAAGGCAATCTCGCCTTGACGTTACCGCGCTGAGTGTGCGCTTAGCAAGGATCAAGGATCAACGCTCTCTCAGCTGTCACCATCATTGAATTTTCCAAATGACAAGCGAGGTGAAGGGAGGGGCGTAAATCCGTCCAGCACATGAATTCCGGGCATGAAACGTATATTTTTAGAAAGTGCACAAAACAGAACTATCCATGATAAAAGGGCTGCCATCAGCGAGTATCGCTCTCGCCAATCAGTACGGGCTTTGTTTCGCCAATCCTGGCGAAACCATCTCCCAGATATATGGAGTGTGGTAATGTTGCGGCGTCAGCACGAGCTCGGGGTTGGGGGAGAACGTCATTTCAGCCATTCGAGGGTACCCATTGGCCAATAAAACCGTCTGAGGAGCAGCCAAACGCACTTTTGGCTGGGTGTATGCGAGTAGTTCTTTCGGATTTCGCTCGCGGAAGTCGCAGCTGCCTAGTTTCAGCCAGACCTGTAACTCGGAAACCTGTCTCGAAGATTTTGAGAAACAGCAGTTTGGAGTAACAGGGAGCTCGAGATGTCGGGCTGAACTTATTGAAAATCTCTCACAGCCCTGCAAAAGTTCAGCCTGGAGATTATCTGAGCCTAGGGGTCATAAATGCTCAGAAAACTCCGAAGTGAAATTGGTGTTCTCTTCGCAGCAATAATAGAGGTGAAGCCATTGCTTCATAATCGTTCGCCTCTCATCAACTAGCTGCTTTCCGTTTCGAGGAAGGCTTATTCTCTGTCTCGTTTTACCTTTCCGATCAGCTCCTTCGACGATCTCCATGGCAGCGCTTCTTCAGGTATTTTTTTAAATTTCTGCAATTTCCTTGTTATACTCGATGATGTTACTGTCGACGGAGAAAAAAAAACACATTCTTATAATCTTCTTAACTGTCATTCATTCCTTTCAGTCCGCATCATGCGTCGGCTTCGCTGCGAATCAGCTCAGCGGTCAGAAGCTCCCGTCGCTCGCGTCGAACGCGTCGCCCAAGCAGCTGCGACGGCCGACGACGGTGATTGAGGCAACGGCAGCACCGGCCGCCGTCGCAAAGAAGGCTTCTGCGAAGAAGGGCGACGTCGCACGAGTCGGAGTGCTCGGAGCAAGCGGATACACTGGCGCTGAGGTGAGCATGCACGTTCTCGTGTATGAGACGACCCCTCTGGCTCGTCAACTCTCTTGGCGACATATGTCTGAAGAAATTTCAGCAAGCAAATACCTTTACCGGCTGCATTGACAAGAATCTAGACGTTGAGAAAATGATGACTTGGGATTTAGTTGCAAGTCAGTAGCATGTTCTGTTCTAGTAGCATCTGAATTCGCTGGGGATAGGTTCAAATTCACCTTTTTGTGCCTCCAAATGCGACGCATTCTACACCTGACGTCGGGAAAGCGTTCTCTGAGATCACATTGCTGGCTGCTCTTCTGTTCTTCTGTTCCTCTGTTCCCCTATTCCCCTGTTCCTTCTGATCGTTCGTCTGCTGGGCCTTGCATTCGTCGCTGCAAATCACTCTCATGACGACAACTGGTCGCAATGCCAATCCTCTCGTCCTCTGTTTCTCCCTCCTCCTGTGTCCCCTCGTGCATTTCCTCCGCAGATCGTTCGTCTGCTGGCCGTGCATCCGTCGCTGCAAGTCACTCTCATGACGGCGGATCGCAAGGCCGGGCTGCCGCTCTCCTCCGTCTTCCCTCACCTCATCTCCCAGGTACAATATCACAAGCTAACGTTTTAATTGTTATCTAAGGTCTTACGAAATTTGAGAGCAGCTTCTGTTGCATTGCATGCGAAAGAATCTGCCACGTGCGTGAGAATCTTCCGAGGCCTTGTGCTCTGGAATGTTCTCAGGCATGGTGAGGAAGGTTCTCTTGCTGGATTGTGCCAGGCCCGTTGGCAAGAAAGAACAATGTGAAAATCCTGGTGGAAGTACAAACTCCTTGCCAACAAATATTGTTCAGTGTATGTCTTTCCACACTCAAAATCCTCGTCCTGCTTCCTCTTAACCTCCCTCTTTACCACCCCCCTCCCACCCCGCTTCCCTGTGTGGCATTTTATTCGCCTCGTGTGGCACACTTCGTGTTGCTCGTGTGCCATCTCTACTTCCTCACTTCCATCCTTCTTCCCCTCCATGCCTCCATGCCTCCTTGCCTCCAGGTGGATCTCCCCAACATGGTCGCCGTGAAAGATGCGGATTTCTCCCAGGTGGACGCTGTCTTTTGCTGCCTGCCCCACGGCACCACTCAGGTGTGTTTCAGGTGCCCAACCAGGTGACTTCGGATGGCTGTTCAGGTGGGTTACAAGCAGTCGATCAGTGTCCCAGCTGCACCCCCAGGTGACTCTCTTGTCTCTGCTGGATTTAAGGCTCAGCTGAACCGAATTGACCATGCGATTAAGTTTGGATTCCACTGTATTTTTAACGATAAAGTAAGTCTGTGCAAGTCAGATTCTGGGAATGGAACCATCCAGCCTTCAATCCATGCAGGGCCTGATAATAGTGCAATTCTCTCCTCGGCTTTCTTGAATTGCAACGCAAGAGGGCTCATCTTATTGCTTCAAAATTCCCCTTTTATGTTGGCAGGAAATCATTGCAGCGCTGCCCGAGCACCTGAAGATTGTGGATCTGTCTGCTGTAAGTGGTGATTCCAGAAACATTATAATTTAGACATTCACAAGCCGTTATATTCTGTTGGACTCGTTACAGCCCCTCTTTTCCTGGTCCAGATGATTCATATGGTGCCTCTCGTAATCATGACACTCAGCCATGGCTCTTTACATGTGCCTCTACCCCTTGCTGCCAATGGTGCCATGTGCCGAATTTGCAGGATTTCAGGCTGAGGGACGTGAACGAGTATGCACAGTGGTATGGCGGCGAGCACAGGGCGCCCAAGCTGCAGGTGAGGGGGGTGCCGTGCATGCGTGCTTGAGAGTCGAGTCAAAAGGGGGAGAGAAACGTGAACGAGTATGCACAGTGGTATGGGGGCGAGCACAGGGCGCCCAAGCTACAGGTGAGGGGGGCGGGTTGTGTGTGATAGACTTGAAAGAATCCCCTGAAGGGAGGAGAACGAATGTGCACGAGTATGGCCAGTGAAATGGCAGTGAGTACAGGGCCCCCATCACCCTACCCTTACCATCCCATATCTCTCCGTTATCTCCCTTCCCCTTGTTACTCTGTGTGTGTGTGTGTGTGTGTGTGTGTGTGTGTGTGTGTGTGTGTGTGTGTGTGTGTGTGTATCCTCTCACCAGGAAGAGGCAGTGTACGGGTTGACTGAGATCTACAGAGACGCAGTCAAGGCTGCTCGCCTGGTGAGTCAGCACTGTCTCGTCGTTCACCCTCTGGATAACCCTTCTGCGTTCGTCAAGCCAGTAAACGTGTTTTCCTGTCCTCCTCCATTCTCTCTTTTCGCCTCTCCACTCTTTCTTCTCTCCCCCTCTGGCAGGTGGCCAATCCCGGATGCAATCCCACGTCCGTCCAACTCCCGCTCATCCTGCGTCTTCATATGTGGTAGAACCAACCGTTTCAAACTGCACCTCCCTTTTCTACCTTCCCTCCTCTACTTCCTTCTTTGCTCCACCTCTGGCAGGTGGCCAATCCCGGATGCTATCCCACGTCCGTCCAACTCCCGCTCATCCCGCTGCTTCAGGTATAGCACGAACGATTTCCTCCTGATGCTGTGTCATGCCTTGAGTTTGAAGTAGTGTTTTGAGACGTCTCAAATCAAAACACTACTTCAAACACGTGGCTGCTTCAGGTATAGCACGAACGATTTCCTCCCGATGCTGTCTCATTCCTTGGGCCTTGCCAACACGCAGAACGCTGCTGATTGGAAGTATCTGGCACAGAAAGAAACATGCGTTTGTGCTTCCCCCATGACCAACCATTCTTCTGTGTCTTCCCTTCCCCATCCCCTCGTCCCTCCACGAGTGAGCCGCCATGCTCCACCCTTCCTAGGGATGCCACACCCTACGGTTGCCAATAACATCACTGACACCCTCTCACCTCCCATACTCCTCTCCCTCTCCCTCCTGTCCGTCCGCAGTCCAAGCTCATCCTGCCAGACGGCGTTATCATCGACGCCAAGTCGGGAGTGAGCGGAGCAGGAAAGGGCACCAACGGTTACCAACCACATGCTGACACCCTCCCACCTTCCATTCTCCTGTCTCTCTCCCTCCTGTCCCTCCACAGTCCAAGCTCATCCTGCCAGACGGCATTATCATCGACGCCAGGAGTGAGCGGAGCAGGAACTCCCCCATGAAACGTGAATATAATCCTCACACCTCCCATTCTGCCCTCACCCCGCTCTCTGTCCCTCCCCTCCACAGTCCAAGCTCATCCTGCCAGACGGCATTATCATCGGCGCCAAGTCGGAGCGAGTGGAGCAGGGCGCGGGCCCAAAGGGGGCATCATGACTGAACCCCTCTCACCTCCCGTTCCCCTTTGGTGTCCCTCTCCCGGCCCTTTCTTGACAGTCCAAGCTCATCCTGCCAGACGGAATCATCATTGATGCCAAGTCGGGAGTGAGTGGAGCAGGGCGCGGAGCCAAGGAGGCGAACCTGTACACAGAGGTGGCAGAGGGCATTCACCCCTACGGAGTGACCAACCACAGGCATGGTATGTTTCATGGTTACCGTGTTACATTGATGCGGAGCTAATGAGGCGAACCTGTACACAGAGGTGGCGGAGAGCATTCATCCCTATGGGGTTACGAACAACAGGCACGGTAGGCTTTGTACCGCTCTCACAGCACACGTGTCTGCTCTGCGCACTATGCACTAGGTTGGAAGCCAAGGAGGCGAACCGGTACACAGAGGTGGCGGAGGGCATTCACCCCTATGACACAATAGGCTTTGTACCACACTCAGTTTCGACACAAGCAAAACCTTGCACAGAGATGGCAGAAGGCATCTATTCCTATGGAGTTACCAACCATGCACAGGCACGGTAGGCTTCACGTCAGCAGCAAACAATAGTTTTGTCACACCTGACAGTTTCTAGTGCGCAGGGCTTGAAAGTGGTTGCTGGGGGGTTGCTGCGACTGTTTTGGCCACCTTTGAGGAGCCTTCATTCTTCATCCTCCCCCCTTGCCTGGCAGTGCTGGGTATTGAGCAGGGGTTAAAGGAGTTTGCGGGGGGGACGGAGCGGATGTGACTGTCAGGAAAAAGGAACTGACTGCCTTACATTGAACCATCCTCATTCATTTGTCCTCCCGCTTGCCTTGCAGTGCCGGAGATTGAGCAGGGTCTGAAAGAGTTTGCTGGGGGAGCGGATGTGACTGTCAGCTTCACTCCCCACCTCATGCCCATGGTAATGATGACTCATGCCCAGTGTGATTATTCAAGCATTTGCTAAGACCTTCTGCACATACTGACGATCTCTTCATGGGCAACCCTAATATGCCAACCTTATTCTGACAACACTTGTGTGACAACCCTCTCTTTTGCTGCATCCTGATCCACTCTAATTGCTATGATCCACTCTAATTGCTATGATCCACTCTAATTGCTATGATCCACTCTAATTGCTATGATCCACTCTAATTGCTATGATCAACTCTAATTGCTATGATCCACTCTAATTGCTATGATCCACTCTAATTGCTATGATCCACTCTAATTGCTATGATCCACTCTAATTGCTATGATCCACTCTAATTGCTATGATCCACTCTAATTGCTATGATCCACTCTAATTGCTATGATCCACTCTAATTGCTATGATCCACTCTAATTGCTATGATCCACTCTAATTGCTATGATCCACTCTAATTGCTATGATCCGAGGCACATCAAAGAAACACCCTCATGGCATTATGTCAACCCTGTTCTACACTGCATTCAGCTCTCTCTCTCTCTCCTTTCTATCCTCATCCCATCCACCCTTCCCGTTGCAAACCCCTCACTTTGTATTCTCCCTCCCCTCCACCCTTCTTTCCCTACCACCTCCCCCTCCCCACACATTCCATCCATTGTTCGCTCCCAGGCACGTGGCATGCTGTCAACCATCTACGTCCAGATGGCACCTGGGACAACAGTGGACGACCTGAGAGAACACCTGATCAGCAGATACCAGGTGAGTTTCCTCATGCGGCATGCTGCATCTATAACACCTGGACAACAGTGGACGACCTGAGGGAACACCTGATCAACAGATTCCAGGTGATCTCCCTGCCATTCAGCATGCTCTCAATCAACCATGTATGTTCAGCATCTGCTGTCCACATCTGAATGTACTTTTCTGCATCTCACAATGATCTACAATCTGATGTTCTTCTGATGCCTACTACCATGTGTACGAAATTTCTCCCATCCATTGCCACTTGCCCTAGCTTGCCTCGTGGACATGGAGTAATGATTCCTACAACCATGTAAATCCTCCTCTTTGTTGTTGCTTGTCCTTGTTCGCTGCATGGTGGACGATCCAGGATGAGGAGTTTGTGGTGGTGTTGCCCAAGGGGATTGTGCCGCACACACGCCATGTGAGGGGGTCCAACTACTGCCTGGTCAATGTCTTCCCGGACCGCATTCCCGGCCGTGCAATCATCACCTCCGTGGTAAGTATTCGTTTGCTAAATTGTATAGTTGGTGTAAGCTATAGCTAGTCGTGTCGTTTCCATATCGTTGTGCTGCACATAAGTTATTTCTTGTTTGCTTGTTTTACTAATGATGGAAATATCCTTTGTTTGCTATGTAGATTGACAATCTGGTGAAGGGTGCATCCGGCCAGGCTCTTCAGAATCTCAACATTATGCTTGGATTGCCAGAGACTGAGGGTCTCATGCAGCAGCCTATGTTCCCTTGAAACACACATCAATGCGAGCGGTGAATATTTGAGGACTTTGTGGATTGTTAGTCTTATGTGTATGGATTGGCATCTTTAATGGCTTGGTTGTTAGTTAACTAAGAACTCAATCTGCGTGTACCTGCTTGCACTTCATCGCACTGTACTTGTAGGCTCTAAATATTTATTGGAGAAGCACATATCGAAGATTTCACTTCCTGCTTGAGCTGCATCTCCCTTCTATCCCAATCTCTATACGCACTTCTTGGTTTTCGCGGGCTCCTCTGCAAGAACTTCGGGGGTGTCATCATCGCGATCTGTGTCAATTTGGACAATTCAATAGAGGATAACCGTACCAGGCTCTACAACATCGTACTCAACCGTTTTCTACCGATCTGAAAGTGTGAACTCGTGCGGCACGGCCCAGTGAGACCAAGTTATGGCGAAATGACGCGCATCGGCGGAGATCATGTTTCTCTCAATTGCATCGACCTAAATTACTCCGACCTCGCCACGTGGGCGTTTCCCTAAATTGGATGGACCGCGTTTGCGCGCGCCCTTTCCACGCGATTTTCCCGCCCTTCCTAACCGAAATCCTGCTCGTGATTCTCGGCGGAGCGTCCGAGCGTCTCCCCGTGTGGGACTCGGGCCTGCTTGATGACGTGGAGGAGCAGCTGACGCGGCGAGCGCTCGCGCAGCTGGATAAGGATGATGAGCTGGCAGCCGTCGGGAGGACGCATGTCGTGGCGTTCCTGTTCATCGTGCGAGGCGCGCTGCCGCTCGCGCCTGTTTGGGAGAGATTCTTTAAAGTAAGCGAGGCATCTCTTAGCATCTGAATCTCTCAGGTCAGGGCCATCAGGGGTGATATTCCGTGCACGTACATGTGTCAATGCTCAACTTCATTCTGGATAATGCGGTGGACTCACCTAGCTTCTCCTCCCATTCTACCCCCATTCCCCCTCCATTCTCCCCCTGTGTCTCCCTCCTTCGTCTCTCCCCAATCCTTAGGGCCACCAGGGGCGCTAACCGGTGAAGTTGCGCATGTGTCAACGCGCAACTTCACTCTCGATAATGTGGTGTCAAGTCTGGTTACCAACGTGCCATTCATATCAATTTCTTTCTCCCTCTTCTAACAGGGCCACCAGGGGCACTACTCGGTGCACGTGCATGTGTCAACTCCCAACTTCCGTCCCCCTCCCCCCCACCCCTGCAACCCCGCAGGGCCACCAGGGGTGGTACTCGGTGCACGTGCATGTGTCAACCCCGAACTTCACTCTGGATGACGTGTACCACTTAGCTCGTCCCCCCATTCTCCCCTTCTTCCTCACACATTTTCACCTTCCGAAACCCCCCCCCCCCTTCCCCCACAGGGCCACCAGGGGCGGTACTCGGTGCACGTGCATGTGTCAACCCCGAACTTCACTCTCGACGACTTATCAGGCACATCAGAAGACGCTCTTTCCCTCTTCCCCTCCTCCTCCACCCCCTCCCTACAAGGTGATCAGGGGTGGTACTCGGTGCACTGCACGTGCATGTGTCAACGCGAAACTTCACTCTCGATAATGTGGTGGACTCACTTTGCTCACCCCTCCATTCTCCCCTTCTCCCACTTTTTCACCCTCCAACCCCCCACCGCAGGGCCACCAGGGCCGCTACTCCGTGCACGTGCATGTGTCGACGCCCAACTTCACTCTGGATGACGTGGTGGACTCGCCCAGCTTCTACTCCCAAACTACACCCTCTTCCTCCCACTTCCACTCCTTCATCTCCCCCCCCACAGGGCCACCAGGGGCGCTACTCGGTGCACGTGCATGTGTCCACGCCCAACTTCACTCTGGATGACGTGGTGGACTCGCCTAGCTTCAAAGGCACTCAGGTGCCGGGAGTGCGGGTGAGTTGTATGATCATGCACTATGTGATCATGCAGTGGACTCAGGCGCCTCTCACATGACGCCCAACTTCACTCTGGACGATGTGGTGGACTCCCCCAGCTTCAAGGGCACTCAGGTGCCGGGAGTGCAGGTGAGTTGTACGGTCATGCATCATGTGGTCATGCATCATGTGGTCATGCATCATGTGGTCATGCATCATGTGGTCATGCATCATGTGGTCATGCATCATGTGGTCATGCATCATGCGGTCATGCATCATGCGGTCATGCATCATGTCATGTGTTGCGGGTTCAGACGTCATTTTGAGACGCCTCTCACATGACGTGGTGGTCTCGCCTAGCTTCAAAGGCACGCAGGTGCCGGGAGCGCGGGTGAGAATGCTGCTTTTGCAGGATGCGTGATTTCACTCACTCTAGATGAAGTGGTGGATTCGCCCAGCTTCAAAGGCATTCAGGTGCTGGGTGTGCGGGTGAGCACCTGCCATGTCAATGCTGTTGTTTGTACAATCAGACGAATTCTGAGACGCCTCAAAGAGGCTTTAAGGGAAGTCAGGTGCCGGGAGTGCGGGTGAGCATGCCCATGCCCGTACCCATGCCCATTCCCATGCCCATGCACGTACTCATGCCCATACCCATGCCCATGCCCGTACCCATGCCCGTTCCCATGCCCATGCCCGTACCAATGCCCATTCCCATGCCCATGCACGTACTCATGCCCATACCCATGCCCATGCCCATGCCCGTACCCATGCGCATGCCCATGCCATGCCCGTACCCATGCGCATGCCCATTCCCCATCCAGATCTCATGGGGCGGGCCGAATTTGATTCGAGCAGAGAAACGGCTCCTGGCTGCCGCCCTCGAGGATCCGGGGAACCAGAGATTCGTGCTCGTGTCGGACAAGTGAGTGGGTGGTGCAACGAGGTGCTGAGGTGTTGAATTGGGTGTTGATGTGATGATGTGATATCTGCTTCTGGCTTCTGCCCTCGAGGATCCGGGGAACCAGAGATTCGTGCTCGTGTCGGACAAGTGAGATGGTGGTGGTGTGAGGTGCCGAGGTGTTGCGATGGGTGATGTTGAGTTATTGAGGTGTTGAGATGGTTGGTGTTGTCACGATGTGATATCTGCTTCTGACTGCTGCCCTCGAGGATTCGGGCAACCAGCGATTTGTGCTCGTGTCAGATAAGTGAGTGAATGGTGGTGTGAGGTGGTGTGAGATGCTGTGAGGTTGTGTGAGGCGATGTGAGGTGGTGATGCTGCCCTTGCTGATCCAAGCAACCAGCGGTTCGTGCCCGTGTCAGATAAGTGAGTGGGTGGTGGTGTGAGGTGGGTGGGAGTGTCTTATGGGTGATTCTGTGAGGTGACATGAGGTGCTTTGCGGTTGTGTGAGGTTTTGATGCTGCCCCTGCTGATCCGGCATCTCCAACCCTGTCATTCTTCTTCAACGTCTGTCCACATTTACTGCAGTGTCCACATTCACTGCACTGCCCACCGCTCCTTGTCCTCCACCCTTGCTACTCTTCTTCAATGTATGTCCACATTCCCTGTATCTTGATGCCTCCCATTCCATCTTCAACACGCCCCGCTGCTCCTTACCTTCCACTCTTGTCAAAACACCTCTGCGCTTGTTTTTCCAACGCCTGTCCACATGCATTGAATCCAGGTGTCTCCCCATCTTCAACTTCAACTACGTGTGGGACTACCTGTTCGCCACCAACGTCAGCTTCATCACCAGGTGAGATTCGAGGCGCCTCGAAGATTTGTGGCATGCCCCTATTGCACTTCTTCACCTACGTGTGGGACTACCTGTTCGCCACCAACGTCAGCTTGATCACCAGGTCAGAGCGATTTGAGTCGCATCTAAAACTTATCACCGACCGCCCGCTATGATTCTTGCACGGCATGTCCCCATTGCACCTCCCATCTTCAACTTTACCTACTTGTGGGACTGCCTATTCGCCACCAACGTCAGGTTCATCACCAGGTGTCTTTTGAGTTGCCCCTTACATTGATCACAAGGTTAAAAAATACGACCGTATTTTTGAAACTGCTCTACGATTCCTCACAGGAGCCTATTACACATTACCGTATTTTACGGTAAACTTTCAAAAAAACGACAGTATTTTTTTACCTTGCATTGATCACAAGGTGATTCTTCAGGAGTCTCTTTATTTGATCACAAGGTGATTCTTCAGGGGTCTCTTTATTTGGTCACAAGGTAAAACCGCGCATTGGTCCGGATGCATGATGTGTCCCCAGCGCACCTCCCTCACCTTGTACCTTGTTTGGGAGGGAAACGCCATGATGTTTGGGATTGGGACTACCACTTGGCCACCGACGCCAGCTTCAACACCAGGTAATGGCCTGTGATTAGCATGTGTCATTTAGAAGTATGTATGGGTTTTCTTTCCATAGCTCTCACGATTAGCGCTTAAACGCCCGAACGTTCTTCCTGCCAACCATCCCTTTCCCCACCCACTCGGCCACCTTCCTTCCCCACACTGACCCTTCCTGAACTTGCACTTCCCCATTTCCCCCCCCGGAAGCTCATTTCCCCCCCCGGAAGATCATTTCCCCCCCCGGAAGATCATTTCCCCCCCCAGAAGCTCATTTCCCCCAAACCCCCTTCCGAGAAACATCCTCTTTGCCCTCTTATCCAACTTCCTCCTTGCCCACTCCCCTCTTTTCACGTTCGTCCTCCCAGCTATGAGAGCGGGTGGAGGTGGGTGTTCACCATGGCTCCTTGCCCAATACCCGCCTTCTCCCCTGTCACCTTCCTCCCCTTTCCCTGTAACCCCTTGCCCCCATTTTTCTAGCGCAGCTATGAGAGCGGGTGGCGGTGGGTGTTCACCATGGCTCCAACGATCAAGCGGCACCAGTTCAGAAAGGGGTCGCAGGTGAGCAGAGCAGACTGTTATGGGGATGTTGAAGTGCAAGTGTGTAAGGAGTGAAAGCACAATGGCGCCAACGATCAAGCGGCACCAGTTCAGAAAGGGGTCGCAGGTGAGACGACTTTTGCAGCACAGGCAGATCAGAGAGAGAAGGCTTTGCTCTGCTTGAGATGGATGCCATAGACGGTTTTGCTCCTTGCTCCAGCCCATGTGAAATTTCGTAGATGGAAGGAGCGTTACACTGTTCTGACTAGATTGAGAAAGGAGCGAAACCCTCTCTTTCTGAGAAAGGATTCGGAACATTGTTACATTCCTTCCATCTGACTGACATGCCAAGTGGCACCCGTTGAAAGAGGAGTTTTTTGTGAGATTGGAGTGGGTTTTTTTCCTATTCGTGTGTATACCATCGCTAATGTTATTTTTGTTGTCCGTTTCCTTGTTTCTTTTGTACCCGTATTCCTCGTGGCCCTGACTGCTATGCTTGCCTTCTCTGCGATGCATGCAGTGGTTTGCTCTAACTCGTGCACATGCAGCCTCATTGTGAGGGACCGGAAGTACTATGACCTCTTTGTGGAGACCTTCTCTGAGGTATGTGACGGCATGCTGATTCCTTCTTCAAAATCTTATTTAAGATTTGTAGGGAGGGTTGCTGATTGATAGTATGCATTTTTTTTTGCCGACCCTGTTAAGATGCCCTCAATTATTTCCCTTCTTTTTTTACTTTAAAGTTTGAAAGGTAGGCCTCATGCAAAGTCCCTCATTCGATGCAAACCCTGATTTCCTGTTTTTTGGTTCTCGATTGTTATCCCAATGCCCACACCCCTGGCATGGCATGGCATGGCATTTTATGGCTGGTGTGGTATGGCACCCTCCTGGCATGGCAGATCCCTGATGAAAGCTACATCCAAACAGTCCTTGCGGTATGTATGTACCGCAGCATGAAACCATTGCTGACATATACCATTGTATTTGCTTTCATTGCATTTCCCCTGTATGAGGTGACCTTTGTTCAGTTTTGCAACTTCCGTGCAACAATAGCAGTCTCCAGGCCTGTTCACAGATGCACCTGCGCTGCGGGGCAACCAGAAATCACCTTGAAGCTCAGTTCTTCGCTCTTTCTTTCGCTGACAGATTGAAGACCCTGAGAATGTGGACACGCGGAGTGTCTTGTATGTGCACTGGGGCGGGGCGATTTCACGGCACCCTGCTTCATACACCCCGGAAGAAATCAATCCTGATTTTATCCGCAAAATACAGGTCAGAAGGCCACAATGGGACAATCTCATGCAGGTTCCACACCTTGTTTCATTGCTTGCCAGATTTGAAACTAACCCTTGTCACAGTGTCTTTCTCCAATTTCTGTACTGCAGCAAGATTTCATGGTGCCAGCAGAGACCATATACACGCTGACATTATCGGGGAGTCGGCCTTGCACTCTGGCTGGACAGCGCACCCATTGCTTCCTGTTTGCTCGTAAATTTGAGATAAACACCATCCCCGCCTTTTTGAAGCTAGGGGACGTCGTGGGATATTAGCGGAACGTAAAATTTCGATTTAGATTACACATCGTTAATGAAGGTTTTACAGTGTTATGAATGTGCAAATGAGCAGGCAGGCCTGGTTTACATTCATTCTGAGATGGAAGCCAGTTTCTTGTATGCACGTGACCACTAAAAGCCGTGAGATCGTAACACAAGAGCGAGCAGCTTCCCCTCTACCTCCCGTTCCCCCCCCCCGATTTCGTTCCCCCTTTATTGCTCCGCCTGGTTTCCGATCCACCCTCCGCTTTTCCCTCCCGTACGCCTTTCGCTCCACTGCTAGAACAGCCCTAGAAACTCTACGCTGTGCCTACCTCGAGTTCTAAAGCCGCTCCTAACCATTCTCAAGCACTGCTTGAGCGATAGCTTTCGCAGGTGCGTAGCGTATGCGTGGTTTGCATGGTTTGCGTGGTTTTCGTGGTCTACGTGGAACGCGTAATTCTTGTTTGGGACTCTTTATCTAACGGTTGACCTCGTTCTGATTTTGAAGGCGGTATTCCGGTTGCGATCCAGGACGTGATGGCGGAGGTCGAGGGAAAGCGCGTCATCACTGTAAGAACGAAACCAACATTGCGCTTTTATATTATTCGCTTTTCGTTTTTGCCTTTTCCGTTTTCGGCTCCGTGCCTCCCGTTCTGCTCCACCAGCTCCTTCATTTGGTTTTCGAGATCCGTCTCTCGCCAGACATTATGTGTAATGTGTCTTTCTTTCGTCGGTGATTTTCGTCATTGTGTTGATCAGGTGGATGACGTCAAGACGGTGCCGATGGATTTCCGGTTCCCTACAGCGAATCAGGCGAAGCACTGCTTCACCTGCTACAACGAGTTCCACAAGTAGGGCCACGCTCTCTCCATGACTTCGCAGCTCACTTCTTTGTGTCCTCATTCCGCTTCGTTTTCAGATTCCGCGTCATTTTCCGATCCAGCATGCTTTCTGATCAATATTTCCGGAACCGGAGTTCAAACAGATGGTATGCGTTGAGTCAGCACTTCGCCTCGTTTCTTATTATCCTTGCGGCTCCTGTGATGTGCGATTTGGCAGGTGCATTGCTGAGAAGGGCGAGGGCGCCTCAGAGTGTCAGAAGTTTGCCAAGGCCTACCGGACGTTGTGCCCTGCTGAGTGGGTACGTTATTTTCTCATGTGGCTGTGGAGTTTGGATCTGAGTGGGCTCCGCTTGTCAGTGAGCTTAGTCTCCTGCTTGCTGTGCTTATGTCTGGCCTGATTTCAATGATTTATGTGTCCTTGTGCTGTGTATTCCCTTCCAGGTTGACAAGTGGAACGAGGACAGGGAACAGGGTATCTTTGTGGGCCGTTACTAAGCATTTGCAAAGATCTCCCACCCAGTGTCAAGACTTGTAGAAAATATTGTACCGTAGTATGAAGGGTCAATGTCTTCCCTGTGGCATCCAGATTCCATGGTCATTCATTTGTATACAGGCTATCCATTTCCCACATAACTGTGCCCCTTACATGTGGTTTTGTACTACAATGAGGCCTGTTACCGGTAATTTTGATTGAAATAAATCAACCGACTATTGCGTTTTTACGGGGAACAACATGTGCATCAGGGCGTTTTCTTCTGGCGTTTTTACCGGGTCCAACATATACAATGGTGCTGTTCGCCAGCAAATCGTAATTTGCAATGGAAAAGATGGCATCGGCATCGCGACCGCATCTGGAAACGGAGGCGGAACCCACCTCCGAGGTTTGGGCATAATGCAATTCAAGAAACTTCTGCGGCCAAAAGGCGAAATTACGCAACCGCATCGGGAACCTCCATCCCCACCTTCCCCCCAATGGCCCGCAAGTTTAGCTTCACTGACCACAGCCTGCCCGCGGGCCAAAAAGTTATCGACGTGGGTAAAAAACGCAAATAAATCCCAACCCTGCTCAGATACAACCCCCGCCACCCCGTGCACATGCCCAGTCACAACTCGGCCTCCTCTAACTCCTTTAGGGTTTACGGAATGGACTCCAACCTACCTTTCGACCCCCTTATAGGTACTAGTAGAGTTCCTAGACAGAACCACAAAGAATCTGCTAAATATTTATTGCATTTAATTGGCGATATCTTCGGCTACTTGTGGGGTATCACCATGCTGCATCGAGTTTCCCGATGTGTCACCGTCTACACCAGAGCCGATAAACACGACTTGTCAAGAGGCGGTCCGACGTATGCTGATCACTTACTTCAAGGACATCCTAAAAGGGCTCATGGGGTTATGCGCATGGAGCCCTACCTCGTCACCCGCCTTTTGAACCTACTCGTGAGTCGCGGCCTACTCATTGAAGGGCGCAGCCAGAGACCGGCCGAACAGCTACTAACATTTTTGCAATTTCTAGGACAATCAGCATCAAACAGGGTGATGCAGGAGACTTGGCAGCGGAGCGGTAGCTGTCAGATTACAATTGTATCTCTAGGCTACAGTAGGGTCACTCCTTAGTGAGTACAACACTTTAGGGTTAGGTTTCCCCTACTTGTACTCACCTCTTGCCTAGTCCAATCCATCATTCCTAGTTGTATTCTTGACATGTTATCAGAGTAGGAACCGTTCCTACATGGGCCCACCGTTCCGCCTAGTGGTAGCGCCACGCCCTACACAGTAGCCAGCGCGCTGGCGCCCCTAGCTCTCACTGTCGCGACCCTTGCAGCCCGTGCGCTGCCCCTGCGACCGCGCTGCCCCTGCAGCCGTGCTCGCCCCTACGACCGTGCTGCCCCTTGCAGCCGTGCTCGCCCCTGCTACCGTGCTGCCCCTGCAGCCGCGCCTGCCCCTGTGGCACGCGCGCTGCTCCTCCAGCCCGTACGCTGCCCCTGCAGCCCGTTCACGCTGCCCCTGCAGCCGCGCGTCGCCTCTGCAGCCAGCCCGCGCGTCGCCCCTGGAGCCCGCGCGCCGCCTGTGCAGCCCGTCCTCGCGGACCCTGCAGCCCGCGCGTCGCCCCTGGAGCCCGCGCGCCGCCTCTGCAGCCCGTCCTCGCGGACCCTGCAGCCCGCGCGTCGCCCCTGGAGCCCGCGCGCCGCCTCTGCAGCCCGTCCTCGCGGACCCTGCAGCCCGCGCGTCGCCCCTGGAGCCCGCGCGCCGCCTCTGCAGCCCGTCCTCGCGGACCCTGCAGCCCGCGCGTCGCCCCTGGAGCCCGCGCGCCGCCTCTGCAGCCCGTCCTCGCGGACCCTGCAGCCCGCGCGTCGCCCCTGGAGCCCGCGCGCCGCCTCTGCAGCCCGTCCTCGCGGACCCTGCAGCCCGCGCGTCGCCCCTGGAGCCCGCGCGCCGCCTCTGCAGCCCGTCCGCGCGGCCCCTGCAGCCCGTACGAGCTGCCTTTGCAGCCAGCGCAGCGCCCCTGCAGCCCGCGCGTCCTGCCCCTGCAACCGCCAGCGCCCTGCCCTGCGCGCGCTGATGCCCTGCCCTGCGCCAGCGCCCTGCCCTGCGCCCGCGCCCTGCCCTGCGCCAGCGCCCTGCCCTGCGCCAGCGCCCTGCTATACCCTAAATATAATTAAATTGTTTATTAAAAAAAGAAAAAAAAAAAAAAAAAAAGAGGACCCTAGGAGCTTCTGCCCTAGGAGCTACTGCCTACTACTGCCCTGCTGTGGCCGCGCGCCGCCCTGCTCTGGCCGCGCGCCGCCCTGCTGCTGTTACTACTGCTGCTGCTCCTACTCGTGCTACTGGGAGTGGAGGAGGTGCTGCTGGGAGTGCAGGAGGTGCTGCTGGCGCTGTAGGAGCTGGAGGTGCTGGACCTACTCCTGACCGTCACTGTCTGTCATGGCCACTTCCGCGGCAGTTGCTGCGGCCAGGGGTGGACAGCAGCGGGCACTGCTTCTCCCAGACAACCCCACCCCTCAGCAGCTTCGTGAGTGGGTTATTCAGCGAGGTCGTCCTGGTGGTGGAGGTTATCGTTTTGTTAGGACTGCTGCTCTTGGTGTTAGTGAGTCTGCTGCCGCTCCAGGTGCTAGTGAGTCTGCTGCAGCTCTAGGTGCCCGTGAGTCTACCGACGCTCTAGGTGCTAGTGCGTCTACTACCACAGGTCCTGCCTCAGCCGAGGTCTTGCACACTTTAACGCTTGACTCAGGCGCGTCACGTTGCTTCTTCCGTGATTGCACCACAGTCACACCACTCACAGCACCTGTCCCAGTCTCACTGGCTGACCCCTCTGGGGGCCCAGTGGTTGCGAGAGCCTCCACGGTCCTCCCTTGTCCAGCAGTCCCCTCTGGTTCTTTGTCAGGTCTCCACCTCCCCACGTTCTCGACGAACTTGGTGAGCAACGCTGCCATTCAGGATGTCTGGGTTGATACCTTTATTCCTGGAGGGCAGCGTGTGGCGATCTGTACGTGCTCCCGGACTGGCCGTCACCTGGCTACGTTCACTCGTCAGCCTGGGTCTAGTCTGTACACACTGACCACTGCGTCTGCACAGGTGGCTGAGTCAGGTCAGGTAGCTGCGTCGAGTCGAGCGTCTGCGTCAGGGCAGTTAGCTGCGTCTTGCTCGTGCAGAGTACTCACGCACGAGACTCAGCGCTGGCACCACCGTCTTGGTCACCCCTCCCTGCAGCGTCTGCGCGGCATGCACTCCCGGCTCCTGGTCTCTGGCCTCCCTGAGACCCTGCCCCCCCTCCCGCGCTCACTTGCGCCGCCGTGTCTTCCTTGCGTCGAGGGGCGGCAGCGCGCCGCTCCTCACTCCTCCGAGTTTCCTCCGACCACTGCTCCTCTGCAGACTCTCCACCTGGACGTGTGGGGCCCGGCCCCCGTCGGTGGGACGGACCAGGAGCGCTACTTCCTGCTGGTTGTTGACGACTACACACGCTACACCACAGTCTTCCCCTTGCGTCGCAAGGCGGACGTCAGCGGTGTTTTGATCCCTTGGATCCGTGCTACTCGTCTCCAGCTACACGAGCGCTTTCATCAGGACTTCCCAGTCCTGCGTCTGCACTCTGACAGGGGTGGTGAGTTCTCTTCTGGCGTCCTTGAGACGGTCTGCCAGGATGAGGGCATCGCCCAGTCGTTCACGCTTCCGGCCTCTCCGCAGCAAAATGGGATCGCTGAGCGTCGCATTGGCCTGATCATGGAGGTTGCTCGTACCTCCATGATCCATGCGGCTGCTCCCCATTTCCTGTGGCCGTTTGCGGTCCGATACGCCGCGCATCAGCTCAACCTCTGGCCCCGTGTCTCTGCTCCAGAGACCTCGCCCACACTTCGTTGGACGGGACAGCCTGGTGATGTGTCGTCGTTTCGGGTCTGGGGCGCGCTCTCCCTTGTTCGCGATACCAAAGCGAGCAAGCTCTCTCCTCGCACTCTCCGCTATGTCTTCCTGGGCTTCCCCACCGACGCTCCACCCTGGCAGTTCTACCACCCTGCCTCGCGTCGTGTTCTGTCCTCTCAGGACGTCACCTTCGACGAGTCGGTCTGTTACTACCGACTTCACCCGCACGCGTCCCACCCGGTCCCCCTTGCACCCCTCTTCCTGGTACCAGTCCCCCCCCCGGTAGACCCCCTCCCCCCACAGGGTCCTGCTCCCTCAGGTGTGTCCCAGGTAGACCCACCCCCCTTGGATGAGCCAGTTGAGATCTCTTCTGACTCCTCTGACTCACCTGAGGGGGGTGACGCCGTCGCCGACGACACGGCGACCACTCGCCACACTCCTCGCTTGGCGACCCCCCCGGGTTTCCCGCCACGGCCGTCTTCGCCGCCTCCGCAGCCTGCTGCTGTGGACTCTGGAGCTGAGACTACTGGAGCTGGGGCTGGGGGTGGTGAGTCTGGGGGTGCCCGCTCTCCTCGTCTGGCTACCCCCCCCGGGTTCCCACCTCTGCCGTCTTCGTCGCCTCTGCAGCCTACTGCTGTGGACACTGGAACAGAGACTGAGGGTGCTGAGACTGAGGGTGCTGGGACTGAGAGTACTGAGCCTGAGGGTGCTGGGACTGAGGGTGCTGGGACTGAGGGTGCTGAGACTGAGGGTGCTGAGACTGAGGGTGCTGGGACTGAGGGTGCTGAGCCTGAGGGTGCTGGGACTGAGGGTGCTGAGCCTGAGGGTGCTGGGACTGAGGGTACTGAGACTTTGGGTGCTGACTCTGGGGGTGCTGAGACTTCGGGTGCTGACTCTGGGGGTGCTGCGAGTCCTTCTGGAGGTCCTGGTGCTGGAGGTACTGGAGCTGCTGCTGGTGCTGGAGGTGCTGGAGCTGGAGGTACTAGAGGTGCTTCTGGTGCTGGAGGTGCTAGAGCTACCACTACTAGAGATACTGGAGCTGGACAGCCACCGCAGCCTGCTCTACTTGAGACGCTCTCGCCGCAGGCGATTCGTGCGTGGGTCGTTCTGCGAGGCAGTCCTGGTGGTGGAGG